CCAGTGGGGCCTTCGGTGGGTCTCCCTATTGAGCCACGAAGCGTGCGAGGGGTGTGCCAGAATGGGTGGCGGGGACGCATGCGAACACCGCCACTGGGGCCTTCGATGAAGCTCCCTATGGGGTCACGAATCGTGTGAGGGGACTGTCGAAATCGGCGGCGGGGACGCATGCGAACACCGCCATTAGGGCCTTTGGTGGAGCTTCCTATGATGCCACGAATCGTGCGAGGGGTGTGCCGAAATGGGTGGCGGGGACGCATGCGAACACCGCCACTAGGGCCTTCGGTGGAGCTCCCCGAACAGGCCACGAAACGTGTGAGGGGGGTGCCGAAATGGGTGGCGGGAACGCATGTGAACATCGCCACTGAGGCCTTCGGTGGAGCTCCCTGGGTCCACGAAACGTGTGAGGGATGTGCCGGAATTGGTGACGGTGACGCATGTGATCTGTACAGCTGGGACCTTCGGCGGAGCTCCCTATGGAACCTCCAAGCGTGTGATGGGTGTGCCGAAATTGGTGGCGGGGACACATGCGAACACCGCCACTGGGGCCTTCGGTGGGGCTCCCTATGGAGCCACGAAACATGTGAGGCGCGTGCCGAAAGGGGTGGCGGGGACGCATGCGAACACCGCCACTGGGGCCTTCGGTGGGGCTTCCTGTGAGGCAGCGAAGCGCGTGCGAGGTGTGTGCCGACATGGGTGGCGGGGACGCATGCGAACAGCGCCACTGAGGCCTTCAGTGGAGCTCCCTGTGAGGCCACGAAACATGCGATGGGTGTGCCGAAGTGGGTGGCGGGGACGCATGCGAACATCGCCACTAGGGTCTCCGGTGTAGCTTCCCAAGGGGCCACGACACATCTGAGGGGTGCGCCGACATGGGTGGCGGGGACGCATGCGAACACCGCCACTGGAGCCTTCTGTGGAGCTCGTTTTGGGGCCACGAAGCGTGTGAGACGCGTGCCGAAATGGGCGGCGGGGACCCATGCGAACACCGCCACTGGGGTCTTCGGTGGAGCTCCCTATGGGTCACGAAGCGCGTGCCGGGGGTGCCGACATGGGTGACGATAGTGGGAGGAGGGAGGAGGTGGAGGAGGAGGAGGATACGAGAGGAGAGGAGAGGAGAGGAGAGGAGAGGAGAGGAGAGCTGAGGAGAGGAGAGGAAAGGAGAGGACAGGAATGCGGGAACCGGTCCTTCAAAACGCGGACCCAATGTCACAGGATGGTTAGGAAAAATACAGTCTGAGAGCGATGTTTGGACAATTGACCCAACCATCATGTGGTGCTGGGTCCTCGTTTTGAAGAGACACCGCCCCGCGTTCTCCTCCTTCCTTCCTCCTCCCCCTCCCCCCCCTCCAATTCCTTTTTCGCCTGCCTCCTGCATCACTATACTTTCGACACGCCCATCACACGTCTCGTGGCCCCATAGGAGCTCCACCGAAGGTCCCAGCGGCACTGTTCGCATGCGTCCCCGCCGTTCATGTCGGCACACCCCTCACACGTTTCGTGGCCCCATCGGAGCCCCGCCAAAGGCCCAAGTGGCACAGTTCGTATGCGTTCCCACCATTCATGCCGCAACGCCCCTCACACGCTTCGAGGAGCTCCGCCGATGGTCCCAGCGGCACAGTTCGCATGCGTCCCCGCCACCGATTTTGGCACACCCCTCACACGCTGCGTGGCCACATAGGAGATCCGCCGAAGGTCCCCGTGGCACAGTGCGCACGCGCCCCCGCCATTCATTCCGGCGCACACCTCACACGTTTCGTGGCCTCCGGTTGGGCCCCGCCGAAGGTCCCAGTGGCACAGTTCGCACGCGTCCTCGCCGTTCATTTCGGCACACTCCTCACACGCTTCGTGGCCCCACGGGAGTTCCGTCGAAGGCCCCAGTGGCGCAGATCGCATGCGTCCCCAGCATTCGTTCCGGCACATCTCTCACACGCTTCGTGGCCCCATGGGGAGCTGCAACGAAGACAGTATTCACAGCTGCGTGATTCACGCATATCGTTGGGCCCTTCGCCTGGCTACTTGACTATGTTTGAGCATGTTTTGTATTTTTTGTCGTCCTAAATCCGCCTGTCGGATGACACGCCAGACCTAACTCCTTTCTGTATCACCTACCCATGAAGCAACCACAGATGCACGACCCCTGAGGTCGGGACCTCTTCCAGATTCCCGCCAGGCTTCTTTGTTAGAGTCTGGGCGTCATTTCTTTTGATCCCGGCTCCCCAGCGACTGTTTTCAGGCCTGGGGGCCATCAGAAATGGGTCTTGGATGAAAAATTACCCCCAGGGAGGAGGGGGGCACGCATTGAAGAGTGCCCCCTATAGGGCCACGAAGCGCTGTACTGGGTGGGGGGAACGCATGCGGACTGCGCCATTGGGACCGTCGTTGGAGCTCCTTCTGGAGCCACGAATCGCTGTACTGGGCGGAGGAGACGCATGCGAACTGCGGACGAGGGAGGCGGGAGGAGGGGTAGGAGGAAGAAAGGAGGAGACGCGGGGCGCTGTCTCTTCAAAACGAGGACCCAACACCACAGGATCGTTGTGGAAAAACGCATCGTCGGATATCCCGGTTCACTGGAGGGTACTGCTGCGTCCTGGATGAAGTGTTGATGGCCCAGGAACGACCTCCAAACGCCGAAGTCGAGGAAGACCGCCAGGACCGAACGGACCCTATTCTGTCGCCAGATATAGGTCTGGGGGCCAGACTGCGCCCGGAACTCCGACGGCCCGGACCAGCGCGTAAGGGCCCAGCCATGGTACCGAGCCCAGACCCCCGACGTAATGATTTGTTCGTAACGTCGACCAGCAGAGGTCTCGACCCCTTCCCCTGGACCGGCTTTCCATCCCGAGTCGGTTCTTGACGCGCCCGAGGCCCAGCGAGGGGCCCCCGGGCGCCGGAATGGCTGGCGGCAAGCCTCCCGTCGCCTTTTTTTCACGTTTCCCATCCCGAGTCGTTTTGTTGGCGCTCCCGAGGCCCAGCGAGGGCCCCCGGGGGGCCGAAAGCATGGCGAAGAGCGTGCCGTCGTGATTGTTTTGCTTGTCGCGGCGCCAGGGGCGTCGGGGCCAGGCGCGCCCTCCTCGAGGGAGGGCGTGCCCGGAGGAGATGGAGGAGGGGAGGAGGAGGTGGAGGAGGAGGAGGAGGAGGGGGAGATGGAGGAGGGCGCTCCCGAGGCCCAGCGAGGGCCCCCGGGGGGCCGAAAGCATGGCGAAGAGCGTGCCGTCGTGATTGTTTTGCTTGTCGCGGCGCCAGGGGCGTCGGGGCCAGGCGCGCCCTCCTCGAGGGAGGGCGTGCCCGGAGGAGATGGAGGAGGGGAGGAGGAGGTGGAGGAGGAGGAGGAGGAGGGGGAGATGGAGGAGGAGGAAGAGGAGGAGGAGGAGGTGTGAGGAGAGGGGGAGGAGGAGGAGGAGGAGGAGAAGGAGGAGGAGGAGGAGGAGGAGGAGGAGGAGGAGGAGGAGGGGGGCGGAGGAGAGGAGGAGGAGGAGGAGGAGGAGGAGGAGGAGGAGGAGGAGGAGGAGAGGAGGAGGGGAGGAGGAGAGAGATGGAGGAGGAGGAGGAGGAGGAGGAGGAGGAGGAGGAGGAGGAGGGCGCCGAGGGAGGGCCGGCCCCTGGGCCCGCACGTCGGTGCTGGTGCGTGCCGCCGGCGCCCTCCCTGCGCTCTGTGGGCCGCCGCAGGCCACGGCCGGCCACGCGCAGATGGGGGGGGAGGAGGAGGAGGAGGAGGAGGAGGAGGAGGAGGAGGAGGAGGAGGAGGAGGAGGAGGAGGAGGAGGAGGAGGAGGAGGAGGAGGAGGAGGAGGAGGAGGAGGAGGAGGAGGAGGAGGAGGAGGAGGAGGAGCAGGGAGGAGGAGGAGGAGGAGGAGGAGGAGGAGGAGGAGGAGGAGTAGGAGGATGAGGAGAGGAGGCAGGAAGCAGGAGCAGGAGGAGGATGAGGAGGAGGAAGGAGCAGGAGCAGGAGCAGGAGAGGAGCGGCGCAGGAGGAGGAGGAGGAGGAGGAGGAGGAGGAGGAGAGGAGGAGGGAGGAGGAAGAGGAGGAGGAGCAGGAGGAGCAGGAGCAGGAGGAGGAGGAGCAGGGAGGAGGAGGAGGAGAGGAGGAGGAGGAGAGGAGGAGGCAGGAGAGCAGAGGGAGGCGGAGGAGGAGGAGGAGGGAGGAGGAGGAGGAGGAGGAGGAGGAGGAGGAGGAGGAGGAGCAGGGAGGAGGAGGGAGGGAGGAGGAGGAGGAGGAGGAGGAGGAGGAGGATGAGGGGGAGCAGGAGCAGGAGCAGAGAGCAGGAGGAGGAGGAGGAGAGGAGGAGGAGAAGGAGCAGGAGCAGGAGCAGGCGGAGGAGGAGGAGGAGGAGGAGGAGGAGGAGGAGGAGGAGGAGGAGGGAGGAGGAAGAGGAGGAGGAGCAGGAGGAGCAGGAGCAGGAGGAGGAGGAGGAGGGAGGAGGAGGAGGAGGGAGGAGGTGGGAGCAGGAGGACGAGGGAGGAGGTGGACGAGGGAGGAGGTGGGAGGAGGGGGGCGGAGGAGGAGCCAGCCCCAAACGACCCCCTGCGACCGCACGGGAGCCCGCGCCGCCGCGGCCTGTGTCCATTCGAGACAGAAAGCCGCCTGCCCAACAGCGGCCGCTGTTGGTTTGGGACAGCATTTGTCATTGGGCGTTGTACTCATTTTTTCCGTGCCCATTTCGGGCGTCCAAAAGGTCGACCTTGCCAAATCAAGGGTGCCCTTGTGTCCTGTGTTTCGCGGCCCATGCCTTCTGCATTCCTACGGCTGTGAGGCCCTCGGGAGGGTCTGGTGTCCTCTCGCGTGTCCTCTCCAGTCCATCCCGACTGCAGGGGGAGGGCTGTTTCTCAGAAGGCGCGGGGGCGCGGGCCTGGTCTGTAGATGTAAGGCCGGCGCGCCTTCTAAGAAGCAGCTTCCTTCTGTAAGAAGCTCTCCCCCCTCCCCCTACCCCCTTGTGCGCGTCGCCAGCCACGACCGCAGCGGCTGCCGCGCTGCAGCGGCCGCGGCCGCCGCAGCGCGAGATGGATGGCCACTGCGGCGCGTGGCGCCAGCGGCTGCTGCAGAGCGCGGGGTCCCTGCAGCGCGGGCTGAAGGAGCTCGGGGCCGGGGGGATGGGAGGGGGGCCAGACCCCCTCGGGTTGTGACAAAAATCACGACCGGAGGTTTTCGTTACTTTCCGTCTTTGGGGGACCTTCTCGGGCCCCCAGACCGTCAAAAAACGACTCAGGACGAAAAACCAGTCCCGGGGAAGGGGTGTAGACCTTTGGGGGTCGACGTTGTGAAAATATCACGACGTCGGGGGTCTGGAGGGGGAGCGGAGGAGGAGAAGGAGGTGGACGAGGAGGAGAAGGAGGGATAATGGTAATATGGCCCGGGGGCGCCTTAAACCCGTTAGTATGCTCAGTCTCTTGGAGTCACCACCCTGTATTGCACGGCGAAGCCCGATGCAGCAGATGGCCTGTGGGCTGGAGGAAGAGCATGACGCGGAGGAGAAGGGTGGAGGGGTGGCGGGGCGGTGGGGTGCGGGCAATTGGGGAGAGGCGGAGATGCGGCGAGGAGAGGTGCGGGACGGGTGGGGAGACGGTGGCGAGGGGGCGACGGCATGTACATACGGTCGGACCGAGGTATACGATTTAGGTCGGTTCAGGGTCGGCTACCCTGACGTTTTTCGTCTTTGTTGGGTGCTCTTGTGCATCCCGGGGGGAGGGTCCCCTCGAGTCTCTATCAGCTTTGCTGGCGGAAGGTCCCATGTTCTTGGAGGATGTTCTTCTGTCCTAGGTCTGGCCGTGGCAGTCGATCTCACGACAGTGCAAAATTGGTCACGCCGCGGGCAAAGGCGCTGCGTGGGCCACTCTCGCGCGGCAATCCAGTTAGCAGCGACACGCGCCAACTGGCCTGGGGGCGGGAGTCGCAAGAGTTAGCTCTGGTGCTGGCCCAACGGGGGTCCAGCCTCGTTCTTTCGGGTTGCGCGCATCCTCGTGTCGGCGCATGCAGCGTAGAGTTGCGTGCGCATCTGAGCGCGCCTGTGTTAGGGCGTACACGCAACGTACACGCAGCGCGTGCTACAGCGAGGGTAGGTTTCGTCATGGGGGGCCCCAATGGACCATGCGGCAGGCTTTCCGCCCCAGGGCTGGTCCCGAATCATTTGGCGCAAATAGTTCGTACACTTTGCACAACTCCTGTAACTTTCGACCCCGCCAGGCCCTTTAGCTGCATTCCTTGCTGTTGCAACTGAACTGCAGCTGAAACAGCGCACGCTGGGTCCCGTTTGGGGTCGAAAAACGGCCGCGAAGTCGGACCAGATCTGATGTAATCGTCATGCAGCTAGGCAGCCGGGCAGTGGCAGACCTTACGCGGTGGCCCACGGCAGCGTCTGTTTTCGCGGCGCCTTCGGGGTGTCTCTCGGGGCAGCCGAATATTTGACTTCAGGATTCCGCAGTTGCCCGCTGGCGCTTGGGATCTGTCGAGGCGCGCGCCACCAACTGTTGACGCGATGCGACAGCAGCGGCTTGCCCGGTTGCGTTGGGCCCCGACCTGCCCCCCCTGAATCCCCGCACTCAGGGCCACTCTCGCCTACGGTCACTCGCACGTGTAGCCGAGGGAGGGTGGATGGGGTATGGGACGGGTGGGCGGTGACCTGCTCTCTGCCTCCCCCCTCGTTCCCTTCGGGTATCGTCGTCTCCAGCCGCCCTCTCATCATCCTCATGCTTTCCTTCCGCCCCCCAGGCCACCTCGTCCCCATCCTTCTCCTACCCTCCCGCCTCCTCCCTTTCATCAACGTCCTCCCCGGCTCCATTGCCGCGATGTCGCTCACTCCCCGGCCCCCCGATGCCGGTGCGCGCGCGCAGAGCCGCCTGGGCGGCTCAAGGCTCCGGGCAACCCCTCGGCGCCCGTCGGTCACCCCATCGCGGGAGCGCCAGTTGACGCAGACTTCTTTTAGCTGCAGCAAAACGACGACGGACAGTGTTCGTCAGCTTCGACCTTCAGGGTTGATCTGGTTGTTTATGACAGCGGCGTGCTCAAGCAAGCAAACAAGCAAGCAAGCAAGCAGGCAAGCAAAACAATCACACTACACACAACACGCACGAACAGACACGCAGACAAACAAAAACATCGCGTCGAAACCGGTGAAAACGCCACCCAGGAAGTGAACATCTCGGACGGGGCTCGGACACGGATAATTAAGTCCGTTCCTATGCGTTCTGGAGCGCTCCCAGAGCGCGCCAGAACGCACTGGGATGGCTGCGGCGCCCGCTACTTGCGTCCTCCAGATCCACCAGATCTCAGAGATTCTCAGAGATCCACCAGATCCACCATTTTTTTTTCGGCGAGAATCGTCGAGGACCATCCTGGACCATCGAGCAAAAAAAATACGCACGAAACCGAACAATGCACGGGGAATGGACGTCCGAGCGATGGCAAGTGCCACGCGCCGGCAACGCCACGACAGCGGACAGAGAGACGAGCCGGCGGGCCAGGGGGCCGACCACGGGCCCCGGGGCCTTCCAGCACCGGCGCCCGCCACACGCGCACCGGAAAGCAGCGAGGATCGAGGGGCGGGGATCGAAGATCAAAGATCGATGTTCGAGGATCGACGATCGAGGATCGAGGGACGAGGATAGAGGATCGAGGCTCGAGGATCGAGGATCGAGGATCGAGGGGCGAGGATAGAGGATCGAGGATCGAGGATCGAGGATCGAGGGGCGAGGATAAGGATCGAGGCTCGAGGTTCGAGGATCGAGGACCGAGGATAGAGGATAGAGGATCGAGGCTCGAGGTTCGAGGATCGAGGACCGAGGACCGAGGGGCGAGGATTTGAGCATGTACATTACCAGTGGCGGGCTGTTGTTCAATCCCGGGAAGTTTAGAGGGTCGGGGGCGACGTCGGGGTGGTGTGGTGTATCCTTGTTTCCCCGTTTCCCCGTGGAAGCAACAAAACATGTACACGCCGGGATGCCGTCTGCACCAGAATCCTGCGCGAATCGCAGTGCGGGGCCGGACAAAAAGCATCGGCGTATACAGTTCGGTTCCTTCCTTGAAGCGGAGGGCAGAAGAAGCTCTCCACCCCCCCAGCAGCAGCGTTTCCGCTGCCAGGCCCGAGGCCGTCCTCCCCCGAAACGGCGGTTCGGCCACGCTCGCAGGACAGCCCGGCGACGAACACGATGGTTGCCAGCACGCTTGGTGAGGCGAGTTGTGTACTTCCTCGCGGTCCGCTCCCATCTCCTCTTCGCCCCAACAAGCAGAAAAAAATACCTCGTCCCCCGCGGTGCTGCTAGCGGCGTCACCCCACCTGTTTCTACTGCGTGCGCGCCGCCCCACCCGGGGGCGACGCGCGCGCCGAGGCATCTGATTGCCTAACTAAGCTCTGTGTCGGGCGTTTCTGGCCGTATCTAAGACTTAGTGGGCCTTGGAAACGACAGGGCCGTTTTTTTTACCGGTTCCCGTTTTGATGTTTTTGTTGCCGGTTCCGAGGCCGTTTTTTTACCGGTTCCGTCGCCGTCTTTTGACCAGTTCCGGCTCCGGTTCCAATCCTGGAGCCGTTTTTGTGCCGTTTTCCGGTCGACGTTTTTTTGCCGTTTTCATTTTCAAGGAGCATTTTTTCGGAAACGGTGAAAACGGCCCTGCCGCTTCCGGGGCCCACAAAGATCTAAGGTGCTTGTAACATACAGCGAGCGGCTTGAATAAGGAACACTTGCTTTTCAAAAGGGGCTCGGTCGTTCCTTAGATTTCACATGCGCTGTTTACAGTTCCTTACGCGTTATTTGTTATCTATCGTCCCTCATGCGTTGTTCCTTGGGATAAAAGAGGGGCTTCGTTCCTTATTTATCGTTCCTTAGGTCAGGCCGATGACTGTATGCTGGGGGCGGGCGCGTTCCTCTGGGGAGGGCACGTCGTGCTCGTGTGTGCCCTCCTGCCTCCCATTCACTGGGCTGGGCGCGGAGATTGCTCATGGGGATAGGGGGCCTCCTCCTCCTCCTCCTCCTCCTCCTCCTCCTCCTCCTCCTGCTCCTCCTCCTCCTCCTCGTCCTCCTCCTCCTCCTCCTCCTTCTCCTCGAGGCGTTCCGCAGGGTGGTCGACGCCAGGGGCCGAGCGAGTGCGCCCTGCCCACGGAACGCCGGGGTCGCCAGTTTCCAGTGGATGCCACGGTCGGTCATACAAGGGCGCCCTCGAGGGCGCGAAGTTATTCGCGCTTCGCGCTTCGCGGTTCGGCTCCCCATCCTTCTCATCCTCCTCTTCTCCCCTGGGAGGCGGCGCGAGAGCGCGAAGTTATTCGCACCTCGCGCTTCGCGCAGCGCGAAGCGCGAAGTTGGGAGCCCTTGGTTATGCCTGGCCTAGTCCAGCTCATCAGTGGGTTACACATGCCCCACGTGGCGCAGGAGGATCGAGGATCAGGGATGGAGGGGCGAGGATCGAGGATCGAGGGGCGGGGATCGAAATTCAAAGATCGAGGATCGACGATCGAGGATCGAGGGACGAGGATAGAGGATTGATGTTCAAGGATCGAGGATCGAGGATCGAGGGGCGAGGACAGAGGATCGAGGGTCGAGTTTCGAGGCTCGAGGATCGAGGGGGGAGGATCTGAGGATCGAGGTTCGAAGATCGAGCATCGGGGATGGAGGATTTGAGGATGCAGGATTTGAGGATCGTTGTTCGGGGATCGAGGATCGAGGATTCGAGGTTCGAGGACGGTGTGAGGACCGTCCGTAGTGGGCCCTGGAAACTACAGGGCCTGAGTTTTGCTGGTTCCGTTTCGCCGCTTTTTGTTGACGCTTCTGTTTCGCCGCTCTTTAACTCTGGCTCCGTCTCGCCGTTTTCGTGCCAGTACTTGGTTCCAGCTCCAATTCCAGAGCGGGCTTCGTTGCCGTTTCAGGCTGCCGGTTGTTTGCCGTTTCTATTCTGTCTGAAGAAGCATCTTTCCAGAAGCGGTGGAGACACGGCCCTGCCGCTCCTGGGGCCCACTGGGCTCAGGGAGGGGCCTGGCCAGGATGCCGGCGAAGTGGTCACCGCTGGGTATCGCTCGAACGTGTGCGTTTTCTTCTCGCTGGGGACCGTCGGGGAGCAGCCTGGGTCATCGGGCAAGCGAAAATCACAC